TTTATTAATATTTTTCCTAATTTCTAGAATTTTCTGAGTTTTCAAAAATAAATAAATAATAAAATATATAGTCTTGTATTTATTAATTCTGCTAAATATTAATTTATGGTTTAATGATTTATATATATAATCTTTGGTAGTATTATTAGGTCCTTGTTATTATTAATGTAAACCTGAGCTTAGTATATTAGTACATATGTAATATAAAATATTTAGCTGTTAATTATTTATTAATGTTATTATATGGTTAATTATTATTATAATGATTTTTAAAATATTATGAATAAATAAATAAATATATTCACATAATCTTTTTCCCTTAATTTTATCTCATTTGAATTCTTTCCATAACTCCTCCCCAATCAATCCCCTAAATCACTCTCCAATCACCATAATCACATTCCATTTTTTATCACGTAATTCTCTCTCTCTCTCTCTCCAATCTATTTTTAAATCTTTTCTCTCTCTCCATTAATTCCTCAACTCCAGCTCATTCCTTTTTAATTTTTCTCTTCATTTCAAAACGTACCCTCTCTCTCTCATCAGTCCACCTCACCCCAAGAAAACCCTCTCTTCTTTTCTTCTTCCTCCCAGCACCGAACCCAACCCTCACCGCGCCGCCTGCACCCCTGACCGCCTCCGCTCCGAACCCACCGCAAAGCCCCGCCTGCTTCATCTCTCCGCTTCCTTCTCCTTTTTCCTCCAGCCAAAGCTCGCCGCCATCACCTCTCTCACCGTCGTTCCCCTTCTCACCCTCGCTCGAACTCCGCCAATTCCCACCGCCTGACCTCCCCCTCCGGCTTCCTCTCTCACCGCGCGGACGCCGCCAGCCTTGGCTTCACCACCGCTGACCAGCTCGAGCCTCCCCGCCGCCTCCTGCTTCCTCGCCCGACCCCAGTGACCTGACCGCTGCTCCTGCTGTTTCCGCCAGTCAACCCGAACCCTGACCCTCAGCCATCGCGCCCAGCGACCCCGATAGCCGTCCCCTCCCTACCTCCGAGCTCCTCTCTCAACCGCACAACCAAGCCCCGGTCCCTTCGCGCGGCGCCGCTCAGCCTCGACCGCTACCGCCTCCCTTGCACCACCTACAGACCTCCACAAACCGCCTCAGCGCGCTCCTCCACCTATAATATAATATTTTAAATACTAGAAAAATTTATTTAAATACGTATCAAAATTTACGGTTGTTACAACTTCGCGTTTCAAGAGTAGCTCTACTCCTATTGTCTCGTTCCACTTTGGCCAATCATCTCTGCGTTTACATTCCGCTAGAGACCGTGGTTCGATGCCATCGTCGTATTCAGTGACGTGAACGGCAATATCGAACGTAAAGTCGTCGTCGACGACTGTGCTTTTTCTGTCCAGTACCTCCTCAGTACGTATAAAATTTAATGATGTTTCTCCTATTTGTTCCTCTTCAGGGGAATCTAGGAGGGGAGAGGAAGCTGGTCTGAGCTCAGTATCCTGTGTTGGGTTCATCTTTATTTCTCCAGGATTTTTTCTTTTACGAGGGACTTTGTCCTTCGAACCTGGTGGGCGTCCTCTTTTCAATTGAGGTACAGCTGTTTCTGCTGCCGGCGGATTGCATCCATCTTTGGGGATGTCAATCCTAGCTGGCGTGTTGACAGCAGGGACGTGTGATCTGACAATCTTCTGGTTATCAGTGAATTTATCCGGAAATAAATATACTGTATTCTGAAGATGAAGAATCTTCAGAATCTCATCTTCACATTGACTAGTACGCGGATCATAATGAGAAAAAGTCTTGGTGTTCCAAGAAATGGTCTTAGAAGCGTCAGGCTTCCTGGACTGTGTGCCAAGTTTAGGAAATGAATCCTCAACAAATTCACAATCATCAAGACGTGCTTTAAATGCGTCACCCGTCTGGGGTTCTAGGTATCTTATTATAGAGGGCGAATCAAACCCTATATAGATACCCAAACGACGCTGTGGACCCATTTTGGTCCTTTGTGGAGGAGCAATTGGGACGTAAACTGCACAACCAAACACTCTCAAATGTGAGATATTCGGAGGTGCACCATAAGCAACCTACATTGGTGACAAAATATGGCCACCAGAGGGTCGTATTCTGATAAGCGATGCGGCATGCAATATGGCATGACCCCAAGCCTCAACAAGCAACTGTGATTGCATCAACAATGGACGAGCAATCCATTGCAATCTTTTAATTAGAGATTCTGCTAACCCGTTCTGGGTGTGAACATGTGCTACAAGATGTTCAACTTCGATGCCAGTTGCTAGGCAATAGTCTTGAAAGACTTGTGAAGTGAATTCTCCCGCATTATCAAGACGTAATTTCTTGATTTGATTATCAGGGAAATAAGCCCGCAACTTAATAATTTGTGCCAATAGCTTTGAAAAAGCTAAGTAGCGGGTCGACAAAAGGCACACATAAGACCACTTGGTTGATGCATCTATAAGTACCATAAAGTACCTAAATGGTCCACTTGCGGGGTGAATAGGCCCACAAATATCGCCATGTATTCTCTCCAAGAAGCTAGGAGACTCTAATCCCACTTTCAGAAGGGAAGGTCTCGTGATCAGTTTACCTTGGAAACAAGATAGACATGAGTAATCACCCTTCTGAAGAATCTTCAGGTTCTTCAGGTTGTGTCCACTTGATTGGCTCATGATGCGGTGCATCATTGCTGATCCTGGGTGACCCAGTCTGTTATGCCAAAGTTTAAATTTCGGCAAAGAATGGCACTTCTGGTGCACAATCATGTTAGCTTCTACTGGTTGAATATATGTATGATAGAGACCCGACGGGAGTCCCTTGAATCGTTCTAAGATAGTTTTTGAACCATCTTTTTGACGAGTTACATACAAATACTCATCCTCATTTATATCATTGGTTTCTAAGTGATATCCGTTTAAACGAATATCCTTGAAACTTATGAGGTTTCTATTAGATTTCGGAGAGAATAATGCATCTTTTATTATTAGTCTCGTTTTATTTGGGAGCAATATCATTGCTTCACCAAATCCTTCTATTATGTTAGATAGTCCCGAAATCGTAATTACGGTATCGTCATAATCATATAAGCTTTTGAAATAGCTTCTTTCGTGAAGGATTGTGTGCGTCGAGGCACTATCCACAAGGCACTCACACTTCATCTATAACATGAATGCAATATTTTAATCTAAAGAAAATAACTATCTTTATTGAAAAGTAAAGTGCATTACATGGAAAGTAAAGAACTAAAGATGAAAGTACTATTAGAATTTAAATGCATATAAAGATAACATGGATCTAGTCGAGAAGATCATCCATTTCGAAGTCATCAGCAGTGAACTGAGTAGACGGCTGCTTTTCCACCAGATTTGTTTCAACAGGAGACTTCAGGCTCGCTAGATACAGATCTTGGAGGTGTCGCGGAGTGCGACAGTTTCTGGACCAATGTCCAGTTATGCCACATCTGTGGCATTTGTCCTCCCAAGTGTTCTTGGGAATGGACGACAGCTCAGTGGTCTTCTTCTTCCACTTCTTCTTTCCCTCACTATTGCTGCTCTGGGGCGGGTTGTTTTTCTGGGGTGGACATCTGGCCTGCCACTTAGGGGCTTTCCCCTTGTTGAATTTACCCTTATGCTTTTTCTTCTGCTTCTGGGAAGAAAACATGTGAGCTTCGGGTAGAGGAGCTGAGCCTGCAGGGCGTAGGTTATGAGTGGCCAAAAGCAATTCTCTGTTTTGCTCTGCCATTAGTGCAATTCAGAATACTTTTTGAACTTTCGTTCGCGGTACTGTTGCATGAGGATTGCATCCTACTCGTGGAAGGATGTGTAAGTCTTCTCCAACATACGTTCCTCCGAAACTTCTTCACCACACAACTTCAGGCGTGAGGTGATATTATGAAGTGCTGAGTTGTACTCAGCTACGGACTTAAAGTCCTGAAGTCGGAGGTTTTCCCACTCATAACATGCACGTGGGAGGATCACATCTTTCTGATGTTTGTATCGGTCCTCAAGTGCAGGCCACAATTCCTTTGGGTCCTCTACAGTCAGGTATTCGGCCTTCAGGGTCCGATCAATATGTCTCCGTATGTAGATAATGGCTTTCGCCTTATCTATATCAGAGATGATCACTGTAGTAGCAACCTCAGCATTATTTACAGCATTACCCGTACCAGTGGCCGGAGCCGGTGAAGCAGGAGTTGAAATTGTGGCTAATAAGCCCTGGGCACGTAAGTGGAACTTCAGGTCCACATGCCAACTCAAATAATTCTTGCCAGCAGCGTCAAGGACTTCGAAATCAACGCTCGCTATTTTAGCCATTTTATCTATGCATTTGAAAGACATGAATTAATAATAAGGAATTAAAAATCCATGCAATAAACATGTTGTGTGGATCAGCCCGTCACCAAAAAATAAAAAGTGTCCAAAGTCAGATTATACAGTCCAAAGATAACAAAAAACATAAAATTAAAATACAATTTGGAAAACCCTTGGGGGTCCCTGCGTTTTGCAAAAATGCCTTCGTCTTCAATGGAATACACCGGTCTTTGACTTTTTACAATTATATCCTCACTACAGTTTCTCTCTCAAAAGGAAAAGAAAATTCAAGGAATTTAAATTTGGTGACAAAACAGGCTGATCCAAAAACCACAACATTATTTATTTAAACATCCACACAATTTAATAATAATATATGCAACAGGCATAACAAATTTGGACAGTAATCAAATATTTTCTACTCTCTGATACCATTGACATACACTATAGTTAATGTATACTTGCAGACATACCTGCGAGACCATGTTATAAGAATGTGTGCTCGAGAATATCAGGGAGTAGAAAATGCAGGTTTTGTACCTATCGCTTTATGTTCTATTTTATTACCACATATTCTTCTTGCTCTGGGAAGGCATTTTTCCACTGTCATGAGCGATGAAGAGTATAGACAAACTATATATAGAAATGACTAATTACTAATATTATAATATCATTCAGTTTAGTGGTTGCAGTAACATCTAGTCATTTTATATGCACATACATATCAAATTGTATGACTAATACGTAGCTTTTCCCTTTCCAACTAATTGTCAGTTTGTTCATATTCATCAGATGATGTCTATATTGAACAATTTACTGTGGGAAAAAAATATGACAGAAGATAAAACTGGACACAAAATACAACTGATAATCATAGCGAATCCAGCAAAATAAGTTGCTAACATGATTTTTTTTTGTTAATTTTCCAGCTGCCATATATTATTCTACGGATTATAGTAATTACCTCTAGATCAAAGATCTAGGGACGATCGATACTAAAGATCCGTAGAACGCTGCCTCCTTGCGATGATCCGTCGAACGCTCCCGCTGCAACGAACCAGATCTCAATGCGCAAAAGAGGAAGGAAATATTATTATTTTTTTATGGCTCAGGGATTCAAGAACACTTCGTGCTGATAACGTGTTTGAAACCCATACCTAGGCCAAAGGCCTATGATATATATTTATACTAGTCAATGTGAATAGGTTGAGTACCCAAGAGTCACCCCCACTTAGTGGGGTGTTACACCACCATAATGGGGTGTGAATGGAGGGATAATGAGGGGGAGGCCAAAGGCCTCCCTCATCTCATAATAATTATAGCATTTTTGAGAGACAAATAAATGAAAGACAGTTTACGAAGGATACACATGTAAACGGTTTTTTTTTTAGATATTAGTCCCCTAAATCTTTCCTTTAAAAAAAACGAGTCCTCCAAAAATTCATATTTTGAAATTAGTCCCTTTCAAATCTTTTTATGTGTTTAATTTGAAATTATTCCCCCGGTTATATTTACCGTCTAAATCGTTAACCATGATTGGGTTAGTGATTTGGTCAGGGACGATGAGTAATCATCAAATAATCCTCATGAAATAAATATTCTCACCAGCTCAAGTGTCCCTTTTGATCCCTCTTGATCATTAATTTCTAGCTTCAACTTTCTAAGATGTTATATATGATGGAATATTTCCACAATTTCAATCATTTGCTAGCTAGTGGGGCTAACTTGAAATCGGGTTAAGGGTTTAGGGGACTAACTTCAAAATATGAAAGATTCGGTGTGCTAACGTGGAAACATCAAAGGAACGACCCTGTGTTAAAATATAGAAACCACCAACTGATCATATTAATTGAATAATAAGCAATAACAATATGTAAAAGTCCAATTATTATTATTATTATTATTATTATTATTATTATTATTTTGGCCTTTTCCTAGCTAAAGAAAAGAACCCTCAAAGATGCGGCCATGAAAAGGACCATTATGTAATCAATCTCGTGAACAAAAAGGGTACGTACTGGATTAGTGGTGAGGGTCAGATCAGTCCTTTTTTACTTCCCCCGACCAGCGATCATTGGGCGGTAATTAATATTCTAAATGGCCCGGGTCGGGTCGTGAATCGTCCCATACATAACCCAACAAGAAAATTTAGGCGCGCGAGCGGATCACGTGCCGAACGTCGGCCACAATCTTGGGTAAAAGGGCTCTGAGCTTTAAATATTGGAGGAAAGCCCTGTAAACTTCGCGGAGGTTCACAAAACTGCCCTGAAATACCATTTTTAATAATAATAATCTCTTTGTGCCGGTATGACCATAAAACAAAACTTTGCCCCTAATATTTTTTCTCATTTCCTTCTAGCTATACCCTATTAATTTTATGACAAAATCTAGCTAGATGACGGAATTTTTTGAAAGTTTTCATGGAAGTTCATGAGACTCACCAAGACTTAGGGCGTTTTTTTAGAAGGTTAAGACCATCTCCAACCCATTGCACCAAAATGATGCAAATTTTGCATCAAAATAGTGCAAAAATCACATCAAACAGTAATACATCTCCAACCCATTGCAACATTTTTTGCACCAAAAAAGAATATTCTCAGTATATTCTCACTTTATTCCCTTTTATCTATTTTTATATTAATTGAGAGGTAAAAACAAATATTTAAAAAATTTTAAAAAAAGTGAACAGTAATGGGGCGGATGAACAGTGCGACGCCATATTTGGTGCAGCACTGTTCATTTGCACCAAAATGGAGCAGAAAATAGGGCTGGATTGGAGAAGGAACAGTGCAACAAAAAGCACTGTTTGCACCAAAATGGGGCTGGGTTGGAGATGCCCTAAGTATCATTTAATACCTTAAGTACCGTTTGGCAAATGATTAAGTGAGGGGTTAAGGAGACTTAACTCCTTTTTAACCCGCCAAACACAAAAAATCTATACAATGGTTAAAGTGAGTTAACCCTCCATAATTTGTCAAAACATAAAAAATAGTGAAGAGTTAAGCTAACCCATCTACAGGGATTAAAATGAGTTATCCCCTCAAAATGAGGGGTTTACCAATACTCCTATTTAGGAGGATTGAGTTAAACCTTCTAATTATAAAGAAAATAGTCAAAATTATTGTTATTCCCAAACACTAAAACTTATCATAATGGCTAAAATAAAACTTATTTAATGGATTAATAATTTAGTCCTTTAGATTAACTAATGGGCTAAGTACATTAATCCTTTTTGAACCTCTCTTCCTTAACCCTTTGCCAAACGGGGCCTCATATTTGACACATGTCTGCACTTATACACTCTGAGTATCTTTAACATTTAATTATCCCAATGTTCTTTAATCTAGCAATTTACTCCCTTCATTTATTAGTTAAAAAATGGAATATTCCACAAAAATTTTTCATATAACTTAAATGATAACAAATTATAAATTATATCCTTATAGTGTAGGCATATAAAATTGCTTATAGGTCCCTTAGCATAGCTCGGCACAAACCGACGAACCAACGAGGCGACGGGGTTGACGAATTGCACGCAAGCAACGGAATACATCCATTCGAGCGTGGAATCAAGCCAACGGTTCGGGGAATCAACGAGTCATTCAAACAAGAGCGGACTCGGACGAATCACGATCGAATCAAGATCGGTTTCGGACTCGAACTCAGAAATGGATTTACTGCCAAATCAGGTCAACGATTCAAGTCCGAATAAATCAACCACAGAACCGAATCACGGACTGAACTAAAAACGGGAAAAGACAGAAAACCCAACACCTAGGGGACTCGGCCAAGAGCCGAGCCACCCATGGGTGGCCGCCCAGATCTGTGCGCGGGCACAGATCTGAGAGCCTATAAATAGGCCATTGAGTGTTCATTTGTAAGTTTTAGATTTTTTGGAGGCAAAGCCCTGCTGGATTGAAGACTCAGATCTAAAAAAGATTCAAACTTTAGGACTTCGAGAACTTGCTCATCCAGATCTGGTGCTCGGCAATCGTCAACGCCAAATAAGGCAAGAGTTCGAGAGGATCGGATCTCAGATCTACGCAGGCACACTCCGGATCAAAGCTTGGCCTTTGATCCCGAGAATTAAAGGCTACTATTTCCTTGGCGAAATAGTACCCTCGGCTATTATTTCCTTGGCGAAATAACACCCGTCGTACTGCGTAGATCCGACCGGATCTAGATCGCGCGGTGGTCCACGGATAAACCCCGTCGCAGGCGAAGAACCCACAAAGCGAGTGACCGCAAAACAGGAGCTCGCGATTTGTTCGACAAACAAGGATAAAAAGTTATAATTTTTCTTTATTTTTCTTTGATTTTCATTGTAACCGGATCTTATAAAAAGACCGGATCTTTGTAACTCAAAAAGTTGTTATTTAAAGATAGCAATGGAATCAATAATGAAGAAAGACACGATTTTTCCCGCGAACATATAGTTGATTAAATCAGCTAAAAGCGGGAGTAAAAATTAACTTCGAGCAAATTTAATCGATAGTACTTATGGCTAAAGATGAGTTTTTACTTGAAACTACAAACTTTAATGGTACGATATGACCGACATCTATCGTGTGCAAATCATACCATAATTTTTAGGGTAATATTTCACAAGTCAATCGTAATATTCCAACGTTTAACTAGCAAAAGGCAATAACATGCTACTTACTTTTTAAAACAACAGGCTATTTAAACGGGAAAAAAAATTACTTCCTGTTTGGCAAAGGGTTAATGAAGAGGGGTTAAAGAGAAGGATTAATGTACTTAGCCCATTTGATAATCCGAAGGACTAAATTATTAACCCGTTAAATAAGTTTTATTTTAGCCCTTACGAACAGTTTTAGTGTTTGGGAATAACAATGATTTTGACTATTTTCTTTATAATTAGAAGAGTTAACTCTTATTCCATCTAAATAGGAGTATTAGTAAACCCCTCGTTTTGAGGGGTTAACTCATTTTAACCCCTGTAGAGGGGTTAACTTAACCCTTCTATATTTTTTATGTTTGGC